AATATAAAAAAAAATTTTTTTTAGATTAGTTAGACAGTTTTTAATTTCTGTCAAAAATTTCACGTCATTACTTTTCTTAATCTACAAATAAATATTTGTGCATGAAGAAATTAAAAATTGCTGAAAGTATTTTTTTTTTTCAATCAAAACAAGCATTTATTTATAGATTAAAAAAGGTAATGATGTGATACTTCGGACAGATATTAGAAACAGTTCAATCAAAAAAAGAAAAATTCTTCAATGTTCGAGATGCATAGTTTCAAGAAGCCAATTGCCATACTTTTTGACCACAGTAGTGTGTATGTGTGTGCACGCATGTGCATGTGCATATGTATGTATGTATGTATGTATATATATATATATATTATACATATAACTCTTTATATATTTACAAAAATTAGTCTTTTTCTTTTTAACTTACTTGAAGTCTAAAGTCATCTCTCGACTACGAATTTCTTCTGTCTCAGCTAAAGTTTGACATTTAACTGCAATAGCATTTTGAAGTTGGGAACTTAAAGAAGATAATTCAGTACGCATTCTTTCAATTTCAGTATCTCGTCTTTCAACTTGTGATTGTAGTGCATTTGTTTCATCTGTAACTATATCTCTTTGTCTACGCAATTCACTATTTTCTTTCTCCAATCTGCAATACCAAGTATAATTATGAAAGAAATAAATAGTCAAAAATAGGCATTATAGTTTTCAATTATTTTGTATATATTACTATTATATATTATTATGATGTATTACTATTATATATTACTATTATCATATAAATATAAAATTATACTTTATTACATTGTATAACATTGTATGATTAATTGCAATTTTACCGTTTGACAAACTCTTGTAATCTATGTACTTCAGTTTTTACTTCCTCAAGATTATTAGATAGTTCTGTATTGGTCTTTTCTGCTAGCTCTAATTTTGCTCTACATTCATCAAGCTCTAACTTTTGTTCTGCAGATTGCTTTTGTGCTTTCTCTAAATTTTGTTCTGTAAGTCAGCACAACATATAAAGTTTTACATTTCAGCATTTAAGATTTTTTTTAAATAAATTTTTTCATATTTTCAACATGTGGAATAAAAGAAACTGCATTGTTTTAGGCAAATGACTGAATAAAATAAAATAGAGATCTAAATTTAATTAGATGTAGGAAAGGATACGTAAAAAGTGTAAGTTTCGAAATATATAAATAAAAATTTTTCAAACAGAAAGAAACGCGAAATCCGAATTACTATCCAATTTACCTAAACATTTTCGGTTCGTCTCAAAAACTGCCTTAGCAGTAATAAACTCCTCGAATTTTGCATTAAAATGCGCATTAATCTTCCTTGTTAATTCCTTTGGAATTTGTGCCAATTCTTCATCGGTTATTATCTCACGGAGAACGTTTGGCTCGTTCTCCTCAGCGGCTTCCATGTTGATCGGGTTATTTACCAAGGTTATATTAGTCTAACTTTACGACTAACGTTTCTAGATTTCAAAACTAAAGTGTCAAACTTTCTTAAATAAAAGTCACATTTGCATTCCAATTAATAAATGTTAATACAAACACGGACATCCGCCGCTCGCAATCACTCGTCATCAAATAACGATTAACAGCGATCAAATAGCATGGCTCCTGTACATACAATGAGGAGCGTGATGTAAAGAAACAAGGGCTACGCAAGGGAAAGTAGACATGGGCTGAATTCTGTAAGTCTCGATCTACAATATGAGTGATTTAAGCCTTAAACCATAAGAAATGGACGAATCATAATCGAAGAATAGGAAAATAATCGACTATGATTGGTCAATTTGTTATGGTTTAAGGCTTAAATCACCTATTGAGG